CGTCACGGGGTATCGGTCTTTGGTATCGGAGTGTTTTTACGAGTAGGAGTACATGAGCTCAGTATCGGTGCCGTGCATTCCTAATAATTGTGCAGTTGATCAAACATATTTAATAGTTCTCCATATAGAAACATGGGGTTTGTGATTACAGTGTTCTGTGAATGTTGATGCTTTAATAACAAATATTTATAGGGAGCGTGTTTGCTGCGATTTCATAAATTTCATGGAGAAAAAAGTAACGTAACTAGTAATGTAACTAATTACTAGTGTTGTTTTTGGTGGCCTGTTTTAATTTTAGTTTTAATCTAGTCTTTGTGTGAAACTCATTTTAGTTTTTATTAGTTTTAGTCACGTTCATACTCTTTTTAGTCTAGTCAAGTTTTAGTCAACTAAAAGTCTGAGCATTTTAGTCTAGTTTTAGTCGACGAAAACTGATGACATTTAGTCTAGTTTTAGTCAATGAAAATTGTATTTTAGTCTCTTTTTAGAAATGCAATTCTATTTAACCCAGTCAATATAGTATAAGTACCTAGTAGTATAGACGAAACCAAAATTTTCTTTTAGCCAAACCCATTTCAAACAAGGTTATCTTATTATATTATTGTTACCTTATAGACTCAAGAATACATCCATTCCAGACACAGAAGACGCTCTGATTTGAATTTACAACATCTATTTTACCAACCAAACATGTTACAAGTACACACACATAAATTTAAATAAAAAGAATAAATAAAATAAGATAAATAAAATAGCATCACATGACAATGCCAGAAAAAAATTAATACATTCAAGTTTAACAAAGAGAAACAAGGTGCTTGAATGCTCGAGCTACAATAACATACTAAAAAGTGCAAATAAAATGTGTGTGTCTGTTACTTGTATTGCTTGTAAACTGAAGTCAGATTTTGCATCATAAAAACTATTAAAAGATATAACACTACAAATGGTTTGGACCTTAGAGAGATATAATGGGATGGGAAGCACTGGCTGCATACAGTGGAATTCGTTCACAGAAAAGAAAGAACAAACAATACTGAATTATGTCAACTACTGAACCAAATAACCAGCAGTCTCAACAGCAACTACATCTGCGCAGTGTGACCTGATGCAGCCCCTGAAGTGAGAAATACTGCAAAATAATAATAATAATAACGCGACTAAACGAGACGAAATAACGTTATAACATTTCGTTTCGTCTCGTTTTGGTCAACGAAAATGAAGAGACATTTTAGCATAGTTTTTATTTTGTAAACCACATTTAGTCTCGTTTTTATTCGTCAACGATATTGCATTATACATTTAATTATAGTCATCGTCACATGACCAGCATTTACGTTGCGTCTCGTCTCGTTTTCGTCACGTGATAAAGGTTCGTTGACGACGATATTTAGTCATAATTTTCGTTGACGAAAGCAACACTACTAATTACTAATTGCTTTTGAAATAAAGTAATCAGAACAGTAACGTGATTACTTTTAAAAGGAGTAACCAGTAATCAGTAATTTGATTACATTTTCAGAGTAACTTGCCCAACACTAGTTATTAACTTTTACACCGAACTTGACTTCAGAGGATATCAGCTACTAAGCGGAGTTCTTCAGATGGACTGAGGAGGGCAGCAATCCGTCTTTGGCGCGTCTGTTCTGCCGCAAATCACAGAAGAAGAAGAGGTTTTCGCGCATGCGCATTCTTCACTTCTCTGAGTCGAAACCGAAAGTAAGCTCGAAAGGAAAACGCGGACGTTTTGAAGACTTAAAAAGTGTTATAAACATCACATTAAGGTAAGTTCCCTTCTCGGCTTCTGATATAAGTTTATATTATTGTAGTTTTTCACATTCGCGTCTCTGTTGTGTTAAATCCAATCTTTAAACTTTAACACATTTAGTGATTTGTGTCGCTTGTAGAAGTGGCTGAAGCTGCACAAGTTCATCTTCAGGATTATAATGATATCGAGCTCTAGAGATTCTGCTTTGAGTTGAGATTAATTTACGGATACAATCGGAAATATAGGCTACCAGAGGAGGAAATAAAGATTTAAACAGAAAACACGAGCTGCTGTAGATCAGCTTTACTGAGTTTGATTCTGACTTACAAATGTATTTCTGCTATAAAAACCCTACAGACCCTCATTAAAGTGTCTGGTTTGTGATATTTGAATGATGACGCCGAGATAACTTTTAAACTTTTAGTAGGGGAAAACATAAAATAAAAGAATTACAATAACATTTGCATAAGCATGCAGAATTTCACTTTTTCCGATATCAAATATCACCCAGTTTGTCTTTCTCTCTCTCTCAGTCATGATACTGTGTGATATCTCAAGAATTATGATTGCTGGCCTCATATAAATTGACTTATTTATCTATAGGCTAATAAATATAATATACAAATAAGAGGCACCGGCATCTTTTTTCACTTAAAAAAAATTAAAAAAAATAAATAAAATGTGCTAATAATATGATTACGGTGAAATTTGGGTGAGCATCATTTTAATTTAATTTTTTTAATAATCTAGTTTGTTTGATGAAAACATTGAAACTCATTTTGGAGGAAGAGCAACTATCACACATTTGACAAAAATAATAATCTGCATATCTGAGATTTGAGGGGTTTTCAGCAGCGCTTCAACAATGAAACATCAGCTCTGAAAATAATCATCATCAGATGTCATGATCAGTTAGTTGATATGTGTCTGTGACGTCACGTTACAGCAGCAGAAACACTTCAAGCTCTGAACAGGGATTCATGCTTTTCTCCTGCTGCTGAAGGGAAATATGTTCAGTAAGACACAAGAGCATCAGTGAGCTCAGATACTGACGATGCTCATGAGGATTCTTCACTCTTCAGATTTCCTTCACTGCAGTCAGTAAAGCAGCACTTTGTGGATTCATAAGAAAATGATCCACAAACTGCTGCAGTCTGAAGCTCCACATTCTCTTGAATCTCATTGTGTGTGTAGCGTTAAGATTTGTTTTCACTGCAATTACTGGAATAATAATCACAATATTATGTGTCATTTGTTCTCTTATGTTTCCATATGCAGGTGTGAAGTCAGTTTCTCATTATGGAGAACAGAGAGAGCAGTGAGAGATCTTCATCTCCTGATCACAGCTGTGTGTCTCTGAAAAGTGATGTATCCAGGGGTCTTCCTCTTGACCTCAGTGATGATTCAGTGACCTCTGACCCCAGGTGAGCTATAATCCAGCGTTAAGATCAATTCACGCTGCACTGAAAAACACTGACCAGTGCGAACAATCACCGGATCACAGAACATCATTTCTCAGACGCTCCACGAGCCAAGTGCTGTTTCAGCATGTTCAATCAGAGAAAACACACACTGAGCGACAGCAGCAGATTCAGACAGGAGTCACACACTGATCCACAAACCAGACCAAGAGTCTGCTTCCATTGTTAGTGAACCACACACTGACTTACAATTACAGCTGCAGCTAACCATTATTTTCAGAACTGATTCATCTGCTGATTATTTCTTTGAGTCATCAGATGAAACAGTTTAAAAATGACTCATTATTGACATTTATACATGTTTTTAAATTAAAAAGTAATAAATTGTAATCATTATAAAACATGTTATTCCTCTTTATGTGCAAAAAAGGGTAAAAATATAAGCATTACATTCTAAACAAAAAATAACTGATTGTTTACCATTAAAAGCAGAAGATAAATGACTAAATTAAAAATTATAAACAAAAAGGAAAGCACAAAATGTTAACTTGCACAAGGTTTAAAAAGACACACATTCTCTCATTTGAACATATAAATTATATTCTGCTGCTCCAACAGTTACTGTTACTGTTCAAATAAAAATACCATTACCAACTCTAAACCTACATTTAATTTCTAATGAAATATCCTCATGAAATTATTATGTAGAAATATTTCAGTAAAAGAGTCAGAGTTATTGTGCTCCTGTTCTGCTGCGCGTCACGTGCTTGACATTGCATGTGTTCTCCGGCGCTCCTTCACTGACGTCTGTGCAGTTTAATGGAGATTTCAAAACAGAAATACTTTCTAACATTCACAGTGAAGGATTTAACCGTATGTAAGCTCTGCACTGAGGAGAACACGTCTCAAAATCATTAAACAGCAGACGCGTCTGTCAAAGCACAACAGGACAAACTGCAGTAAACACTTGTGCTTTCGTCTAAAGAGCTGAATATAAAGCGTTCTGATGTTTCAGACGACTTGCTCCTGCATCTTTCCCACAGCAGCTGTTTTCCATGTGTTTTGTCCATAGAAATGTGTTATTCACTGATATAAAGTGATGTGACTGACGGATGGTTTCTGTGTTCAGCGTTCAGACACAACTAATTGATAATCACACTCACTGACCATTATTTTAAAGATTTTTAAGAAGATTGATTTCTGTGTGTTTATAAGGATCTTCAGGACAAGGAAGAGGAAGAGATCTTCATCTCCAGTTCCCAGCTGTGTGTCTCTGAAGAGTGACAGATCCATGCAGTATGATCCTCCTAAATTCAGTAATGATCCGGTGACCTCTGACCCCAGGTGAGGATAAACATGAAGTGATGATTGAACTGATTAATGGGAGTAAAAAACACACTCAATGTAGAGGTCTGCATTCCCGTCTGTTTCCCGAACAACGACGTAACTCGCTAATGAACCACCATAGTATGATGTTTTGTTGTGGAAACGAACTAGCTAGTAGTCACAAACAGGCCTGGACTGGCCATCAGGAGCACCGCGAGAATTCCCGGTGGCCTGGCGGCTGATTTGGCCCGCTGCCCTGTTTTTTTTTTTTTTAGTTATTATTATTATTATTCATATTTTATATTTATGCCATCCCAATGTACCAAAGTGATCATTTCCGATTTTTTCATTCAATAATAAATCATAAATCGGTTAGTCTTGACTGTCAGCACTGCGCTACATGAATCGGCTCACGTCTGTTCCGTGCTTCCGTCAAACGGTTCCAAACAGAACCGATGCGCGGGACTCGATGAAAGAGAGAAAGTGGACAGAAGAAGCAGTGAAATGTAGCAACATCACTGACCTGTTTAGGGCTTCAAGTGCAGGTCAGTTTCATCTGTAAATACGCTAGATAGTTTTGTGTTTATTAACGTAGTTGAGTATTAAACTGCTAGTGTCTGTTAGGCTATCCACTGCTGGAGCAGTTCTCGTTCTCGAGTCAAGAACCGGTTGCATCGGTTTTCGGATCACCGGTACACTCAGCCGCAGTCAGTTTCTTTCGGACACGTCCGATTTGAGAACCGATGAGCGGATGATACTGTGCATGTGTGATTCAGATCTAAATTTAGAACAGTCGGGCCAGGAAGAAAATTATTCTAAGCGGACAGCGGGTGAACAAAGAGTAAATATATATGTGGAGCGGGTGTGTGCGGAATATAACCTCGCGGGAGCGGGACTAAAAAAACAGTCCTGCACAGACCTCTAACTCAATGCACACAGATAGGACTTGACACAATGAGCACATGTGCTCTTACATTTACTCATATTATATTATATTATATAGGGTTGCGGGTTCGAGTCTCGTACCGGCAGGGATTGTAGGTGGGGGGAGTGAATGTACAGCGCTCTCTCCCACCTTCAATACCACGACTGAGGTGCCCTTGAGCAAGGCACCGAACCCCCAACTACTCCCCGGGCGCCGCAGCAATGGCTGCCCACTGCTCTGGGTGTGTGTTCACGGTGTGTGTGTGTTCACTGCTGTGTGTGTGCACTTTGGATGGGTTAAAATGCAGAGCACTAATTCCAAGTATGGGTCACCATACTTGGCCACATGTCACGTCACTTTCACTTATATTATATTATTGTATTATTTATTACTTCGGGTGTGTGTTCACTACTGTGTGTGTGCACTTGGATGGGTGAAATGCAGAGCACTAATTCAGAGTATGGGTCACCATACTTGGCCACACGTCACTTCACTTTCACTTTTCACTTTACTTTCACTTTTCACTTCACAGATAAACTTAAATTATACAGAAAATACTAGACTGACATCTCTACAGATTTAGATTTTTATACATCCTTTACTTTTAGATATGTTTTATCTGTAATTCTTCTGATATGTCAGCAGAGCATATCGAGATAGAAGCATCTCTCGAGGAGCCGCCTCTGTCTTCTGTCTGAACAACACAAGCGTTACAGCGCCCCTGAAAAAACATGTTCAACCAGTGAATGATGAACTACAGAGAGTCAAAGACCAGCACAAAACCAGCATGAGGAACAAGTATGAGAAATTATTTGAGGGATTGAAACTCCACCTGAACAGGATCTACACACAGCTCTACATCATAGAGGGAGAGAGTGAAGGAGTGAATGAAGAACATGAGGTTTTACAGATGGAGAAAACAGCCAGAACACAACACTCACAAGACACTCCAATCTACTGCAATGACATCTTTAAAGCCTCA